CCACACTACCCCCATCATTTCACAGGACCCACTCCCCCACACTACCCCCATCAATTACACAGGACCCCTCCCCCATACTACCCCCATCATTTCACAGGAATAACCCCACACTTCAAATAACACCCCCAAATTACTAAACCCCCTCATTGTTCTATACAGGTGTCCCCCATACTACCCCCATAATTATGTCACTACCCCCCAGACTAGGCTTTAGAGAGAAAATACATGGGGGTTTATTTACTAAAACTGGACTGTTTAAAATCTGGTGCAGCTCTGCATAGAAACCAATCATCTTCCAATTTGATTATCAAAGACTAACTGAACAAGGTGAAGCTAGAAGCTGATTGGCTGCCATACACAGCAGCTACCATATTTTGCACTCTGCACTTATAATAAATGAATCCCATAGTGTGTATGATAATGGTCATGTCTTCCTCCCCCTTTTGACTTGCATGTGTCTGTAGACTCTATAACTTTCACAAAAACGAAACAATATACTGTACATATATTTGTTTTTTTGGGGTTTTATTTGTTTTGTTTTGTTTTACCAAAGAAATGTAGCAGAATATATTTTGATGCAAATTTTTGAAGAAAGATTATTTATTTTGCAAAATTTTATAACAGAAACAGAAAAAAATATGTTTTTTCCCAAAAATGTAAGTTTTTTTCCTTTTTATGGTTAAAAGAAAAAACCTAGTGGTGATTAAAAACCACAAAAAGAAAACTCTATCTGTCTAAAAAATATGATATAAAAATGAATTTAAGTACAATGTTGCATGACTACATAATAGTCATTCAGAGTGTGACAGTGCTGAAAAATTACCTGGACTAGAAGGGGGTGAAACAGTTCAGTCATCAAGTGGATAACTGTAATTATCAGGTTTAAGTGAACTGGCCTCTTTAACAGTATTAGTAAAAACTGTTGAAATGTGATATCTGGGTAATAAATGTCAATTTGCTATTTTCTAGAAATGTCTTGTCTTTACCAGGTACTGTATATACAGTATTTTAGTAATTATGAGAAAAGTTCTGTTCTTTTAGAGCAGTGGTTTCCGAACTGTGGCCCAGGGGGTCTTTATCTTGTTTTTATCTGGCCCTCGGAGCAGTATTTCATCCACTGACACCAAAACTGGGGCATAATTCTACCCAACTGACACCAATGAAGGGGCACAATTCCTCCCAATGACACAAATGGTGAGGCCCAATTCCTCCCAATGACACCAATGGTGGGGCACAATTCCTCCCAATCACACCAATGATGGGGCACAGTTCTGCCCAATGACACCAACAATTGGGCCCAATAACACCAATGATGGGACACAATTCCTCCCAATGAAACCAATGATGGAGCACGATTCCCCAATGACACAACGAAGGGGCACAGTTCCTATCATTAGCACCAAAAATGGGGCACTGTTTACTCCCATTGATACTGGAACATTTTCTATTCCCAGGAAGAATTTCTCCCTCTCAAAAACAAGTTTTGGTCATTAAATTTACTGAGTGGTCAAAATTAAAGTGAAACTGTCTGTTGAAAACAGATACCACAAGATACTTTCTGTTGATTTTTGTTGGCCAGAACGCTCTCCTATTTGCACCTCTCTGAAATTAGCTTTATTTTGTAATTTCCCCGCCAACTGCCATTTTCTTGTCTTATGAGAATGCCTCAATAAAGGCACATTTTGAAACAGTGGAATAGTGGAAGGGCTTAAAGCTGAATTCCAGAATGGTCACAAATTTTAATTTTAAACTTCTTTTCCCAATGTTCAAATAATATAAACATTACAGCAAAATAAAAATAATATAAATTACAGCATTCCCAGGATATTTTTTTAAGTTGATGTGACATCACTGTAAGCTCCCCGTTCATTCATCAAAGTACCAGCAGACTGGAGGAGGGATCTTTGATGTACCATATGTCATTAAAGCCCCCCCCCCCCAGTGGATCTAGTGGGAACAATATTTTTCATGATTCTTGGCAAATGCAATGTAGTCAGAGCTGTGGGTGGTGACTGGGCTGTTCCTTGCTCTCAGGAAACCACCTACATGTTCACTGTGGTATTCTGTACTGCTAGCATGTTGCACAGAGGCATAATTATAGGGGTTGCAATTGCAACCCGACCCCATGTTTCAGGGGACCCATGCGGCTCCCCTGTCATATTTGGTTTTACACTTGGATAGGAGGGACAGCGGGGGTGGCAAATAGAGGAACTGATGCACTCCATTTTCCTCTTGCAGCCACTGTAAGCCAGCTTCTCCTCCTCTCCCTCCTGCTGGCATTTCAGTAGCTGCAGAAGCAAAATGGAGAGCAAAGTTCCTCTATTTGCCACCCCCCCTTCCTGTCCAGGTTACTTATTTTCTGTTACCCCTAGGTCCCCTTGTGTGCTCCCCTGCCCCTCCTCACCCCCCAGTGCTGCCAGATTCCCTCCTCTCCCGCCGGTTGCTGTGGGGGATGCTTTCAGAATGGAGATCAGGGGAAGAGACAATAAATATGTCATTTACCAGCCCCTTCCATTTCTGAATGAACACAGTGAGTGATTGGCATCTCTTCTGTGTCCATTCATAACTGAGGCATAGTGAACTGTTTACTATGCTTCTGTTTGTGTATGAACAGGAAGCTCTGTACAGAACTAATCCTGTCTATTCATTATGTGTGGCTGCATAGATGGATGTTTTAAAGGTGAAACATCAGAAGTCTCTTTAGACACTTGATATTTCACCAAAGCCCCCAATGGGGCTTCTAAAAAAAATAAAAAAAATATTACAAATAAAGTTGTAAAATAAATAAATAAATACATAAATAAAATAATTAAAAAATAAAATAAAAAAATTAAAAAAACTACTGACCCCATCCACTGCTACTGACAAGGTCCACCATACTGACCCCACTGCCCTTCTGACCCCATCCACTTCCCTATACTGACTCTGACCCCTACTGACCACATCACTGCCACAAGGTCGACTGCCCTGACAAGGTCCACTGCCATACTGACTCCATCCACTGCCCTTCTGACCCCATCCACTGCCCTACTGACAAGGTCCACTGCCATACTGACTCCATCCACTGCCCTACTGACCACATCCACTGCATTACTGGCAAAGTCCACCGCCATACTGATACCGTCCACTGCTCTACTAACTGACACCATTCATAGTCCTACTGACACCAGTGGCAGAACTACCAGAGTCACAAAAGTTGCACTTGCGACCGGGCCCTGGTTTTCCGCCACTGTAGGGAGGCCCCAAGAGAGCAGGAAAGGGGCCTCCTGCAGAACATATGAAAGGGTCCTGCTGTGAGATTGTAATAAAGGGCCCACAATGGAAGTAAAGGGCCCCAGGCTTGAAGGGAAGAGCCCCGATTTCTTGCACCAGGGCCCTAGTTATGCCTCTGGTGCAGGGACGGACTGACAACTCATGGGACCCCCCCGGCACTAGGGGATCATGGGGCCCCTGTGTCCTTGCCAAAAACTCAAAAAAGCCTATGAAAAAAGGTACCATGGGCATCTCATGGGGCCCCCTACTGACCCTGGGCTCTCAGGCAGTGCCCGAGTTTCCAAATGGTCAGTCTGCCCCTGCTCTGGTGTCACCACCTACTGTTCTAGTGAATTGGGGTGCTAGTCTAAATGAATGACACCCTACTAATCTAAGTGCTGAGAGTCAATGTGCATTACAGTAACACAAGATAAAAAAAAAAGCATTTTTTTTCTATACATCACTACCACAAAATATTGTGAAGCCAGCCTTAATATTACTGAAAGGCTCACTTAAACTACTTTGCCTCTCCTATGTGCTCACAAGAACTTTTATCATTACTTAAGATAACAAGATAATACATATATATATATTTTTTATGGACAAACAATGCTTTCTTTTCATGATATTGTCTTGCAACAATTATTTATTTTTTTTAGAAATCCTTATACAATAAAATGCAAAACTAAACAAAACACAATTTTTCTTTTTTGAGCAGTGTTTAAAAATACATTTTTTTAGTTTAAAAATAGTGTTACTGCACATAAAAGTGCACATTTTATTCTGTAATTTGTCCTGTTAAAAATTATACTAAAATTATGATTCTGGTACAAAGTATTGCAAAGTTATTCACAAATGAAACAAAGTGGGTTTTTTTTAATTTATGCACTTTTTCAAATGGGAACTGTGTAAATATGTATTAAATGTGTAGAAATATTAGCAAACAAAACAAAAAAAAGTTAAAATATTAATAGGTAATACAATAGAAAAAAAAAATCAGCAGAAAAATAAATGTTGAATAGAGAAGGAGAATAAGGAGTTAATTAGGGCTGATTAGAATGAGCTAAGTGTTAACAAGGGGTTAAATAGAGGAACATTTTATTAAACAAAAATGTTTAACTGACATCATTTGCAAATTTAGGATTATCCCTTTGATCTGTAGATGAGTGAACAGAATGAAACAACAGTATTAACCGCTTTCCTGTCGCCCTGTAGCAGATATACTGCTACAGGGCGGCAGGGGTGCACAAAATCACGTATGTATACGTGATTTTGCATCTCCGGGTAGGGGGCATGAGCGAGCCATGCATGCGCCCTACCCGCGTCGCCATTCACGGCTGCGGCTGTCAATCACTGGGTCCCGGCCGGTGATTACCCACCAGCACCTGGTGATTACCGAGCATCTCCAACGGGGAGGAGGACTGTTTCTTTTACTAACAGTTCTCCCTGTCAGCACAGCCATCCAGAGCAGTGTGATTACAGTGAAGCACACACAACCCGCCCCCTAGTAAAACACTCCCTGCACACAGTTAACCCTTTGATTGGCCCTTATGTTAACCCCTTCCTGCCCAGTGCCATTAGTACAGTGTCAGTGCTTTTTTTGTGTATTGGGGTCACTGGGGATGTCAGTGACACCAAGTCAGTTCCCCCCATTGTCAGAATATCCACCACAGTCCCGCTATAAGTTGCTGATCGCGGCCATTACTAGTATTAAAGATTTGGAAAGGTAAAAAGGCAGGTGGACTCACTTGAAGAAGTCATCTTTGCAGTATACATTCCCAGCCCGGGAGAAGCAGCGCTCAGCTAAGGGCACCTGGCACTCACAGCACTTGAGGCATGCACTATGCCAGTGACGATCCAGAACCTTTAGGATGAATTTATCCAAAATGTGTTCATTACATCCAGAGCAGCGTGGGATCTCTGTGGAAAGACAAAGCATATGTAAATTATTATCACTAACAGTAGGTTTGTGGTAGCATTAGTATTATAGCACTCATCATTTCCCTCCTGCTTTACACAGTGGTGGGGAGTTGTGGTAATCCTTTTGATTACTGACACCCATGACTTTCACAATTTTCATGGCTGGTTAACCACTTCCTGTCAGGACACTTTTACCCCCTTCCTGTCCAGGGCAATTTTCAGCTTTCAGCGCTATCACACTTTGAATGATAATTGCGCAGTCATGCAACACTGTACCCATATGAATTTTTTACAATTTTTTTGAGACAGATAAAGCTTTATTTTGGTGGTATTTATTCACCGCTGGGATTTTTATTTTTTTTGCTATGTAAATGAAAATGTCCCAAAATTTTGAAAGTGTTTTTCTTATAAAATTTAGCAAATAAATAATCTCTCATCATAAATATTGGCCGAAATGTATTCCTTTATCTTTTTAGTAAAAAAAAAATAAGCTAGATTAGTTTATAACCAAAAACTATAATTTTTAAACATTTCTTTTACATTTTTATTTTTTTTTATATTATTATTTATGGGGGGGGGGGGGGGGTTTCCCATACTGTCACCCTAGCAGTACAGTGTCACCATGGTAACACTGTACTACTTGTGGTGGTGATGAAGATTTTTTTTTTTTTTTCTTACAGTGATTGCTTTTACACCCATATAGGATGTAAAAGCAATCATTTCTCTCTCTCTCTGTCTGCATTCTTGCAGCCATTGAGAACTACTGAGTGAGCTGTGATTGGTCACAGCTTGTCACATGGTACAAGGCTGTTGTGAATAGCCTTGTACCATGTGACCTCTGTGATCATTCACAGATTTCACACGTAGTAAGCAATGATGTCACAAGTGACATCTTGCTTACTACTTTGCATGTGATCACTGATTGGCCAATCAGCGATCACATGATCGGGACCTCGTACAGAGGTCCCGTCCGACGATCGGTGTTTCGCTGTGTGTGTTTCACAGCGGGCACCGGATCGTGGCTGCGCGCTCCCAGGGAGCGCGCACAGCTAGAAAGGGTGGGTGCTGTTTATGAACAGCAACCCGCCCCTGGAGTGCAACCGTCCTGCCGTTTATAAACAGCAGGCGGACGGCAAGTGGTTAAAAGTAAGTCATGCACTACCCACATGGAAGAAAAATATATTTGAAATATATTTTAAAAATATTCTTCCCAAATATATTGTCATAAATTTGAAATGCTACAATTTTGGCCATATTCAGTATATATATATATATATATATATATATATATATATATATACTGCATGTTGAAATACATTTTTATTACAGATTATATATGAAAAATATTTTTGAAAATACATTTCAAAGATACTGTATACTGTATGTACAAATCTACACTTTTGGAATGCATTTACAAATATATGTAAAAATATATGTTAAAATTACTTTTTAAAAATATATATTTTTTAAAATATATTCTTCAAATTTTTTTAATGACATATATTTTGAAATATATTGAATATGGCCAAAATTGTAGCATTTCAAATATATGGCAATATATTTGGGAAGAATATTTTTAAAATATATTTAAAATATATTTTTCTTCCATATGGGTATATTTAGCAGTGGAACCTGCATAACCTAAACTAGACACACACACAGAATCAGATTTTGTTTCCGATGTAATCTTCCAGAACCAGGGGCGGACTGACCATTTGAAAACTCGGGCACTGCCCAAGGGCCCAGGGTCAGTAGGGGGCCCCATGAGATGCCCCTTGTACCTTTTTCATAGGCTTTTTTTGAGTTTGGGCAAGGACACAGGGGCCCCATGATCCCCTATTGCCCGGGGGCCCCATGAGTTGTCAGTCCGCCCCTCTCCAGAACAACAGTCCATTCAAATTATAGCCAGGCTATAAAATAGAACTGAACACACACTGCTTGGTAAATTGGGTAGATCAGACAGATCAAATCTAATACTAAATCTGGCTGTGTTTGACCATCATTTTAGTGTTTATCTTGACAGAACGTAAGTTGGCCATACACAGCTCCAACTATAGATGATGTCTGTAAAATAGTTGAAATTTGGGTCATGGATGGCCCTGCTGACACCACCTGGCTTGACAAAGCTTCAGTCACTTTTTTGGGCATTCTAACAGCTGCAGATGCCAGCATTCAGAATACAATAGTCAGTAGCTGGAGATTCAGTCATCCACCCTATTTAATGTGGATGGAGGATTTGTGCAGTTTTCTCTGGTTCATCCTGTGGAGCTAACAAGAAAACCTAAACGTGTATGGCCAGCTTTAGTTCTGGATACTGCAAGTGTTGAAAACCCTTTTGGGTTTTCCTTGATTTCTTTTTTAGAATCTTTTATTTGCATGTTTACAAAGAAAATGAACAAATGCAAAAAAAGCATAAAAAAAACAATGGTTTCATAAAGATAGACAGTCTGTAGTGAAGAAAATGCAGATAGAGTTCCATATTACAGGGTACAAAGGAGCATCCATGCAGAATGTTATTGGATATCATTATAGGAAAGCTCAAACTTTTTCATGATGAATATCAAATAAATGTCTGTTATGTCACAAAGTACAACCGTCTGTCTCAGAATGTACCGTATATACTCGAGTATAAGCCGAGTTTTTCAGCACATTTTTTGTGCTGAAAAACGGCCCCCTCGGCTTATACTCGAGTCAACATCTGCAGATGTCTAGCAGGGGGCGCTGCTTCTAAAGCCAGTGCTTCTCAAATAGTGGGGCGCGAGGCTCCGTCAAGGGGGGCGCGTACAGGGGTGGGCAGAGGGCTGCTGTCTCTTACCTGGCTCCCACGATGATCCATCCAGGAAGCGCTGCTCCTTCCGTCACTCCGGCCACTCCCTCACTCCTGCCGCTCAGCTCCGCCTCCTCACCGGTGATTGGCCGCCAGAACTGTAGCTCAGGAAAGGTACACAGGCGGCCAATCACGGGCGAGGAGGCGGAGCCGAGCGGACCCGCGAAAATCGAGTGAGGGAAAAGCCGGTAAGTGTGCAGTGCAGAGGTGCTGCTGCAACCACATATGCTGGCTGCAGCAGCACCATACTGCAACAGGGGTCAGCAAGTGTCATTGGTGTCAGTGGGAGGAATAGTGCCGCATCATTGGTGTCACTGATACTAATGATGGGGCATTATTCCTCCCACTGACACCAACGATGGGGCACTATTCCTCCCACTGACACCACGATGGGGCACTATTCCTCCCACTGACACCAATGATGGGGCACTATTCCTCCACTGACTAATGACACCAATGATGGGGCACTATTCCTCCCACTGATACTAATGGGGCATGGGGGGGCATTATTCCTCCCACTGACACCAACAATGGGGCACTATTCCTCCCACTGATACCAATGATGGGGCACTATTCCTCCCACTGACACCAATGATGGGGCACTATTCCTCCCACTGATACCAATGATGGGGCACTATTCCTCCCACTGACACCAATGATAGGGCACTATTCCTCCCACTGATACCAATGATGGGGCACTATTCCTCCCACTGACACCAATGATGGGGCACTATTCCTCCCACTGATACCAATGATGGGGCACTATTCCTCCCACTGATACCAATGATGGGGCACTATTCATTCCACTGACACCAATGATGGGGCACTATTCCTCCCACTGACACCAATGATGGGGCACTATTCCTCCCACTGACACCAATGATGGGGCACTATTCCTCCCACTGATACCCTCGGCTTATACTCGAGTCAATAGTTTTTCCCAGTTTTTTTGTGGTAAAATTAGGTACCTCGGCTTATATTCGGGTCGGCTTAAACTCGAGTATATACGGTAATGAAAAACCAGAGTGGGGAAGGGGAGTAAGGAATGAAAAAGGAAGGTGGGGATGGAGAAGTGAAAACAAGGATAAGGTATAAAACAAACAAACGTGAAAACTTCATGGAGGGGTAAGCCTCCAGACTGACTTCACTCACTAATACAGAGGCAACATTCACCTAATGAACATAAATATTAAGATTGTTCTTGGCTTGCATCCAGGTTGCCCATGTTTTATAAATGTGTCATACATCTCAACAAGTGTGTACCCATTAGTCAGATTCCATAATAGAGTTAACCTTTTTAATCCAATCCTCGGAATTGAGGATCTTGAATTGCTTCCAGAACAAAGGGAACAGACCTTTAGCCATGTTCAGTAGTGGTAGGTGAGGGAACACACTCTTCTTATATTTCTTAATAGACAGAGGGAAAGTGTGTGGCAGACAAAAATTTGGGTCTTCCTGAATTGGGACAGTAGTGATTTTAGAAATCGGTTTCCTGATCTCAATCAAGAACAGACTGATTTTGGAACAATCCCACCATATGTGTAGTTGAGAACCCTGTGAACCACAACTCCTCCAACCCCTGTTCTCAGAAACACTTCATTTAATGTATACCTCTACCATGTGCTCAGAACCCAAAGAACCTAACTATAAACTAGTAACAAGATGGTATAGGGTCCTCAGAACATTGGCATTAATGTATCCTTCCATTTCAGATATTTGTTGGAACATTGGCATTAATGTATCTTTCCATTTCAGATAGATGTTGGAACATTGGCATTAATGTATCCTTCCATTTCAGACAGATTTTTGTCCACTTGTGGAGAATTCCCTTAACTTCCTGTTCAGTAGACAAAGTAGAAAGTTAATAGAAATTTCTCCAAAGTGAGCTGACATTAATTGGCATTAATGTATCTGAAATGGACATCTATCTGAAATGGAAGGATACATTAATGCCAATGTTCTGAGGACCCTATACCATCTTGTTACTAGTTTATAGTTAAGTTCTTTAGGTTCCGAGCACATGGTAGAGGTATACGTTGAATGAAGTGTTCCTGAGAACATTCCATCTCACTCTATAAGGTCTATAAGGCCTTTCATTGTCTCAAACTTTGTGGAGAGTCGAAAGCAGCCCTCCAGAGATTCCACCCATAGAGAGCCATAAAAATTCGAAAGGGATAGAAAGTCCTGGGCCT